CCAGGTGCATCGCGGAGCATTTGCGGGGCAACACATAAGACCAATTGGCCTTCCCCTTCATATCTCAATACGAGAGCCTTTCAAACGACTCCCACATGACCTCCGACTCAAAGTTGACACTAGCAGAGGGTTCTTTCTCCATGTATATATATATATATATATATATATTATGTCTATGCATAGTTGTACTCGAAACATTACCCTTTAAATTGACAGAGAAGGTGATGTGCAACCATTGAAAGGTTATTTCAAACCCTGACAATCCTCCTCACAGGTAGCAATTCTCCGACTGGGAGTAAGCAAACAGGTAATTAAGGAACCTTCATCATGGGCTTTCGCTTGTTTAACCCCCGAAGCGGTGAGCTTGCGAACTATATACTTTGCCCACTGTGCAGAGTTTGCCTGTGGCTGTGTCACCCACCGCCTGAAGATGCCGATGAGGAGGGTGACCTGGGCTCAAGCAAAGAAACCTCTATTTTTTTGGCAAAGTAACATCGCTGGGTTAGACAATTACACACGCCATTCATGGCTTTCTCTGGCTTTCTAGTACCCCACCCCATTCTAACTATTTGGGCAGTAAATAGTAGTTGAAAGGCAAAACAACAAGCCTCTGTGGCTGTTCGGAACAAGAGGTGCAAAGGAAAATGAAACGCCTACCGAAAAAGAAACTGGCCCAAACCTACGGCAGCTAGGCAAGCAAGAACGTGTGAACCTACTGGCCGTCTGAGCCGAGCCGACGACCTCCACGCGACGTCGGAATGGCTGTTGCACTTTCAACAGGATCGCTGGGTACTCGCAAGGTACAAAGCGACACGGGTTTGTCTCAAAACTGGGGACCCTGAAAAAAAGTGGCTGTGCTCCTTTCCCACTAAAACCCGGGGGGGGGAGGGGAGGGTACCCTCCAAACAAAAAAACGAGGAGCCACCCGCTGTGGGCAAAAGCCTTGACACCCTCGTCGCCCGTCGCGCTCGCCACTTTTTGCCGTTCGCAACTTCGGGCTGGGGCCCGAAAGAAGCGGCCGCTGGCAACCGAAAACCTATGGCAGCCTGCAATAGCGTGGTGTGTGGTCTATATATGGTTAGTTGTCTATGCATATGTATATATATATATATATATATGGTTATAAGGGTGTGCCTTCCTGGATGGTGCCATTTGCTGGGGTGCATGTCTTTCCGGAGGAAAAACAGGGAAGAAAACACCGAATTGGAGGGTCCCTAGTTTGACCAACCCACCTGTAGCGCCAACTTGGACGGTTGGCCAAGTGTGGTGGTGGATGCTGCCGGACTGCCACTGCTCAACTTGTTTTGAGCAGAAACTCAAACCACGGACGCGCCTTTGCCGCATAGCACGCGCTCGAGCTCAGAACAGGTTGCGGCCTCCACATCAGGGCAAATCCGTCGTGTTTGCCGGTACACCCCTCCACCACAAATACATGTTGTTTGAGGACAAACTTAGGGAAACCAAGAGAAACCCAAGGAAAAGCAAGAGAGACCAGGGAAAACCAGGAATAAAACCAAGAGACATCAAGGGAAGAAGCCAATTTCTGGGTGTCCCACCTGGTCGCCGTGGGAAGAGGAGGCCTCACTTCCATCTGCTGACTTCCAAAGCTTCCATCACCAGGAAAACGAAAGCCCAAGGATCCACGGCTCAAATTGCTAAAACCTCATTGCTGTCCCTGTGGGCGAAAAACAACAGCAAACAAAAGCTTTGAGACGTATTCGAGTTGCACTTTTCTAGGGGTTGATTCCTTTTCTATTCCTTTCAACCATCGTTCTTTTCAAAAACCGGCTGTTTCCCCTGGGTTTTGCTGGTTTCCTTAAAAGAAGGATCCCTGGAAGGAATGGACATGGAAGGTACGCCTGGAACTTTGTTGCCTCACTTCGGAGATCATCTCCTTGAGCACCCCTCACAGCTACTGCGCACGCGCTCTCGGCGCCTGCCAGCGCCGAGCACCTCCTTCCTCTGCCCATCTTCTTCCCGGCCTGCGCGGAAGAGGCTTGCAAACTCGCTGGGCATAGCTGGGCCAGAGTGGGCTACAAAACAGGTACATCTCTGCCGGGTGAAGGGGCAAAGGAAAAAGAGAAGGCGAAAAGCTTCATGGGCTGGCTAAGTCCGGCAGTGATGGATGGGCGTCCTGTGCCACCCAAACCCTGGCTCCCGTTCAAAGGAAACCAAAGGTGGTCAACTAGAACACTTATTCAAAGGGCTAATGCGCCACCTCCCACAGTCGTTGCGTGTTCGTAGAAAAACCATTCTTCAAGTGCCCCCGCCCTCCGTACGCCTACATCTTGGTTGGCGAGACGCCCTATGTTTACCCTGGCTGAAAACCGCTGGAATCCACCAGATTGAGTTGACTGGAGCCAGACTTCCCAGTAAAATCCAAAGAATCTATGTTCAAACAATTTGAGCAAACTTTGTCCACACTTCTCATCGGGAACCCCCGAGCTGCCAAAAACCCTCTGGGCCATCAGCCCAGCCTGGCGCTGGGCTTCTCTTGGCAAACCGCTCCAGTTGTTCCTAGGCGCCGCTCTGTTGCAAGCGCTTTCCTTTTGGGCCAGGGAATGTACAGCTATTTCGACATGGAATCGGACACCTCTTTTGGGGAGTTTCAGGCCATGTCCTGATACTCCTAGCAAATTATTTCTTCTTTTTTGGGCCCTGCAGGTTCCCCCGAAAGAGGGTATCCTCCCTCCAACCTGCGCACGGAAGCTGGCGATCAGGTAAGACGAAAGCCGAAAGCCTTGGGAAGCCGAAGCTGAGAGCAGTTTGGAGGACGAACGCCTTCCTTTTCAAAAAGCCCACTCCAACTTCCGTGACGTTGGACAGGGGCTAACTATCAACAAGTGGGTGTAGCTCAAAAATAGAGATCTAGCGCTACGCGGAGATCTTAGCATTTGCTTCCACTTACCAAGGTACACCAAGGTGCCAAAGTGCCATGTTGGGCGCTCTCCGTTTTTGACCCACCGCCAAGTGACCAGGATGTGCTCTTAAGGATGTGCTTTCGCATACAGCCCCTCGAAAGGGAGGCAATCCATTCGCCTTAAGGGTTTAGCCAAGAAGGCACCCTCGTGAAGCCAAGAAAGGTGGTGTCGAACAAAGAACAAGACTCGTGTGTCAAAAGCAAGCCGGCCCTTCCCAGGCCTATGTCAGCATGCGAAGTGCGATTGGGATCGTGCCCCCTACAAATGGGCACCAAGCAAGATCAAACAGGCAAAGACAGAATGCCCAAAACGGAAAGAACCAAGAAAGCAGCCGATTTTCGGGGGGTGCGCTTCGTCTTCAACCTCCACATTACAGGATTCCAGGAGGTCAGCTGACTAGCCTCGAAACAAGTGCTTAGGGGTCCTTCCATTCTGATTCGGAAAGGCACAACTCACCTCGCAAAAGGAATCTGCGAAAAGGAGAATGTGAACCTTCCATTTGCGAATAACCCCTGAGAAAAAACAGTGAAAAATGTCCAGCAGTGATAGATTCCCTTTAAAGTCAAAAGGGGAAAATCCCCCCTGGAAAAAAATAACAGCATTCCGGTAGTGATAGATTCCCTTTATAATTAACACGGGAAAAAAATATTCTTAAGCAAATGGAAATCATGGCTTACTTCCCCCCCCCTAAGGGGGGGTCCCCCCCCTTTCTGAGAGCCCTGAGGCCCTACTAAGGTCTTGCTAAGACCTTACTAGCTGCACAGTCCTCACTTAGCACTCGGTAGCACCTCAAAACCAGTTTTGCCTTGCCTCCCGGAAACTTGTTGCTGCCAAGGGTGAGAAAACTAGTTTGAATGCATCTCAAGCCGCAACCATGCTTGTTGTTACCATAGGAACTGAACGTCAAATGCGCAGATGGCCTCGTTCCAGCAATTTTGAGGCACTACTGAGTCCTTACTGAGGCCTTACTGAGGCCGCACTGGCCTTACTGAGGTCTTGTTGAGTTTATGGCCTTACTGAGGCCGTAGTAAGGTCTCGAACTGGCAACTTGAGGAGTGTGACAGTAGTGGTTGATGCGTACTCACCTCCTCATGGCTAAGATTCGTGCATTCCTAATTTCCCCCATTGTCGGAATACAACTCCTTCCCGACCTAACGGACATGCAAAACTCAGCAAAACCAGTCATTCTCAGCAAGCTTAGTGAGGGGGTAAAGTTGGGGGACCCCCCCCTTAGGGGGGGGGGGGTTAGTAAGCCATGACAAATGGAAAAAAATCTACGCGAACATGAAGCCCCGGCGTCGGATGAAACCATGGGTTGCAGGCAAGGTCACGCGGGGCAAAGCTATCTGCAAGTCAACCATAGACGACTTTAGGATCTTGGAGGTCTTTCACTTGTCAAAGCTTTATCTCACAACCCCCAGAGACCAAGCCCCAAGGCAGAAATGCGCAGGTGTGTTAAGGGTCTGTCTACCGCCTCATGTACCTCTGTTTATGGGGTCTGGTTGCTTCGGGGCCTGCTACAACTCTTTGGCCAAGGGCTTCCCTCTGAGAGGAATGGACCAACGTGATGACGTTCGGCAATGTCAAACAGCCTGAGACTCTGAACCAAACGACCGACCGCTACACGAGACCAGGGGACTCAGGGGCTTGGCCCCTTACAAGACAAGAATAAGACAATCTGGGCAAATTTCTAGTAATTCTACAACGGAAATAGAGAATGCCTGAAAGGCTTCATCATGAAGTTTGCTTTCCCCCAGATGCGACAGTGGTCCCTCCAACCAACTCCCAAATGGCAAAACTATTTGACCTGTTTAGTCTTGGTAGGGGGATTGAACTCACGTTTCCAACAGTCATAGACCCATACAAGTTGATAGGTGGGTCTTGGAAGACTTCAGCCCTCTTCAAAAGGCCTCTGTCCACTTCCATGTTTGGAAAGAGGGTAGGACTTCTCATGGGCATCAGTCGCCCAACTGTGACGTAGTATCCCGGCGTCGAGTATCCTTCAGCTTGGCTCACCTACTGACCTACTGCCTGTTCGCAAGAAAGATCACTCGCGCCGAGTCTCGAGACTTCGTTCAGTCAGGGCGGAGCTTCGTGTGGGCCGCGCTCGGTCCTCGGGCCCGAGCTTGCCGCGCGGGGCTTCTGCAGCAGCCTGGGGCCAAAGCACCAGGGGCATTGACTTTTGACATGTTTTAGGAAGGGGCCACATTTGATGGCAATCAACGTCTGAAGCCCCAAAGCATTTTTCACTGGGCCCAGATGTTCCCGCCGGACTGCTTCTCAAACCCCGAAGAGGGTCATGGAGTGGCCTGTGAATGTAAAGCGGCCAAAGCTCAGCCTGGCTCAGTTTTTGCACTACATCCTGCCGCTCTTGGCCAGTTTGGGTCTTTCACGCAATCAATATAGCTGGTGCACTCTGGAACCTTCCAACCGCCAGAACGTCACCGCGCCTCTTCTCATGTTCCTTGGCTACCTGAGCAACTGTATGGACAGACCCGCTGTCCAAACGAGCGGGTAATTACTTTACGAGTTCACCATATATGTTCACGGCCGTAGGTTACTGTGGACGTGATTGAGCTCTTTCGCAAGCAGAAGGTATGCGAAATGACGACATCTGTTTTTCCCTATTGGATGGATACTTTTACCGAATGTAATCTGTCAGGTGTTCCAACTGAGTGTGTGACGTTGTGACTAAGTCGTTTGGTATGGCACCTCTTGTCTCTACAAAGGGGCCAACATCGGATGGTGCCGGGTGGCGAAGCGCGCGAAAGCAAGTGGCAAGCATTCCCCCTAGCTCACACTTCGCAAGTCTTAGGCCTTTCTTAAAGGCGGGTGACCAACAGACAACATTTCTCGTTGGTTGATTTGGGTGTGTCGTTTTTTGAGGATACCCCTTTTCTGGTGTTTTGAAAGGGAAACCAAAACGAAAGCCGCAGCCGAAACCATTTGGGGGGTGCAACCTTAAAGATGAGCCGCCCATTTGGGTCATGTGTTCGCGTTTTGCAAAGAACCAACTTAGAGACCTCGGGGTAGTGGCCCCTGGCCAGCCTATGAATCAACCAGGCATTTCATGAAAAATTTCGGATTGTCCTTTAGGTTTCTCTAAATTGAAATGGGACAGCCCTGTCAAGCCTACGAATCAACAACCACCAATTCATGAATCCTGGAACTGACGGGCCCCGTTTGTTGCAGGACCTCTCATCGTCTTCAAAGTGCGATCTTGCGCCCCGTCTTCCGGTGTCTTCCTGCGGGTCTGTACTGACGCATTGCCCGGAGTATAACCTTCTGGAATCCTTTCTATATTTCCAGGTTCTAACATACAGGAAACTCTCTTTTAACTGGCGACAAGGCGCCAAGCTAAGCACTGTCGCTGGTAATATTTGGGATACCCTCTCTTTTTTGGCTAAAAGGAGAACTGTAAGGCACCCGGATCCCCGTCAAATTTGGCCCTGACTACCAACTTCGCCTGGTCAACTCCTGGGCCTTCGTTCCTTTGGATTTGGAGGTGCCTTTATCTAGTGTTCCCGTAAAAAGGGAAAATGGGTTATCATACATGGAATTCCACGGATCCCCCCTGCCCCGATCAACAATTTTTCAGGGGGTGAGCTGAAGGCTTTCTTGGATGATTATATACGGAAAGGGAAAATTGTGGGGAACTCTTATCTAGGTCCTCCGGTAGAGAGGTTAGGATAAGGGCACCCTTTCTTCTGTAGTCTATTTTAGTAGGGGAACCCTCCCCAAAAAAAGAAACGGTCAAAGGGCACTACTGGGGCACCTAGTTATGGAAACTTGAAGGACTTGGTTGGGCCCAGCCGCATCCAAGGCCTGTCCCCTCCTCGTTGCCGCTGGCGCTCTCTGGCTGGCGCCCAGCTGTCGCTGGTCCATGTCCGCCTCCAGCCCAGACCGAAGGCGAATTCTAGGCACCCATGTGGCGGTGCAAGGGCAGGAAGGGATCGGATTGGATGAAGCCTACCTTCTAAAACCGGATCTGTTTCCCTGGGTTCTTGATGGCTTCCTGAAAAGACTCGGATCCCGGGAAAGAATGGAAATGGTGCCGCTAGAAACAGTACCCCATCCTTGACCCAGCTCCTTGGCTCCCTTGCAACCAGCTAAATCAAAATGTCTCTCCCCTTTGCTGGTGGCTTAAGGGAAGTCATCCCCCAAAAAGGTATCTTTTGAGAAGCCCTCAAAATGCTCGTTTTGAGGGGCCCAGTTTCAGGCAAGCCGGGACAGAACCAGAAGTTGGGCACACACATCTGCAGTCGAAGCAATAGGTCTCCAGGTATTTATTCCTGGAGGCGCAGGTAGAAGAAGGGAAGTCTCATTGGGTTGACCATCTTTAGTTCTAAGATGGCTTACAGTACCCCCCAAACCACGAATTGGGGTATATCTTGCCAAGCAACGTTGGTTTGGAGCTAGCTTGTACCCGCCGACATTGTTTGGCGTGTCGGATACTTACTAGAGGATAGAGGATAACCCCCGCCCGACGTCGGGGGGGGGGGTCCCCCAGGTACCGCGCGAAAATTTGATGACGTTCCACTAAACGTAGTCTTCGGGGAGCAAAACAGGGGTCCCAGGC